TTCTATCAGATCTGGCAAAGGAGCTCAGTCAAGCAGCTTAAGAGACGGATTAGCTCGCCTGCAATGCAGAAGTGTTAATACACAGGATGCCAGCAGGCGCACAGACCCCTCCATGCAGGCCTTGGCATCCACAGGCCCCAGGAGGGTGGCTGCAGGAGGAAATTGGCCCACAAGGTGACAGATCCCCAAGGAAGTGCAAAATGGTCCCTCTGCCCATGGGTAGGACAAGGCTGTAGGTACATTCATCCCTTGAGAATGTGATAAAGCTTTGCATCCTCCTCCCAGAGGCATACTCACATGTATGAGATTTTGCCAAAAACCTTAGGGGATTCAAAGACTTCAGGTGTCCCACCCACAGACCCTGCACTCTTGCCTCAAAACTTTGAGAACGTTTTGCTTAGAGTCTTATTGCTTTTCACGTGCTTCTTACTGGCAGACTTCCCTGGAGTTGAAACACTTTTTTTTTTTTTTTTGAGTAAGATCAGATCCAAAATTTAAAACGTGCTTGTCTGTGGCCTGATGTGTCTGTATTTAATTCAACAAGCAGGCAAGTTTAGTGAAAAAAAACAAAACAAAACAAAAAAACAAAAACAAAAACAAAAAAACTGGTCTTTGGAGTAAAGGCTGGGCTCCACTCATGGTTCTGGCAATCTCACACTGGGAGAAAGTCACTGGGAAAGTCACTTAGCTTTTAGAGTTTCAATAGCTTCATGAATAAAATGAAGACTAACTAGTTGCCTGCCAATCTCTTCTAATTTTTGTTAGGTCACATTTCTTCTATGGCAAACTGATTTTCCAGTGATAAAAAGGACCATGTAAATAAGACAGATTGGTGATTAGCTACAATGTGACTAACTCTGGAGATGCTAAGATGGGGGGACACAACCCTTCCTTCCCCAAAGGATTTTCCGTAGAATAAGGAGATAGACCAAGAAATCTATGACCACAGCCCACTGCAGTAAAGTGTACTGATAAATGCTTTATGAGGATCCATCCCCACTGAGGAGATCAGGAAAGGCTTCCTGAGAGAGAGAAATATCTGAGCTGCATCTCCAAGATGGTAAGAGTAGCCCACTGGGAAAAAGAAGGATATTGCAGTCAAAGGAATCTCCAAGTTCAAAATCAAAGAGGAGAGGTGTGGCAATAATTGAGGAGTCTCTCATCACGCGGGCTCAAGTACATACTGTGTGGCTGAGAATCCTGAATTAAAACACAAATACTGGGAGGGCAGTTCAGAGCCCAGAAAATTGGGCTAAAAAGGAAGAGATTTTTGAGAAGTCCCTTCCCTGTCCAACTGAAAGGCAGAGGTTGGCTGTTACGAACATTCCTTTTCTCTGTCTCCACATTTCCCCATACGAATGCTTCCAGCTTCTGTGGCTCTTTTGAGGAGAGATGGTACAAAAACCCACACTCCTCTCATGTGTTAGATTCTTTTGCCTTCTTTTGGGCTCTTTTCCCCAATTTCAGATTAGAGGAAGTGCTTACTTCTTTAGGATCTTCAAAACCCTCTCCCTACGTGGAGGACCCAGAATGGACATTAAAAGAGATGGCCAAGTTCTCTGGCAAAGGAAGCTGGGTCAGGTTTCAGTTTGAAGAACATCCTCTGCATGAGTGTAAATGTATAAAAACATGTGGGATTTGGAAAAGCCAAGGCAGCCCCTGCTGAACACTTTTCCCATGAAGTTTTAAGCTTGTGTGTATTTTAAAGGAAATGCAATCCGCACACTTCAGATGTACTTAGATTTAATATACCCAAATGCTCTATAATAACTTCTGCCATCCAAGTTCTTAGAGCCTGGGGTTTTAGTCAAGTTTTCCCCTTAGAAATAAGAAGCTGCAGGTTTTTCCAAGAGTAGAAAGAGTATGTAGCTGGCAGACAAAACTTCATTTTTTTGTTTGATACAAGAAAAAAAAAATCCCCTAGAATAAATCCTGCTTTTGAAGTCCTCATCTGCCCTTTCTGTGTGGCATTCACACTCACCTTATTCTTGACAGGGTGACCTCACACCTGCAGTTGTCCAAGTCCTGGATCATACCCTTTGCCCTGGCATCATTATTTGCAGTGCCCACTTCCGCTCTTCTAATATCCTGGTTTGAGAGTTGATTGATATAGTTGCCCAGTATAGGGCAGACTTGTGATGCACCATTCATTGTCTCCACCCTTTCCCTTTGTTAGAGTTCAAAGAGAACCACAATATAAGCCACATATGTGATTTAGAATTTTCCAGTAACCATATTAGAAAAGGTAAAAATAGGCAAAATCAATATAAATAGTGTATTTTGTTTAACTTAGTATAACCAAAATATTATATCATTTCAAGATATAACTAGTATGTAATGTTAATGGGAGATTTACATCCAAAACTTACAGCATATCTCAAACTGGAGTAGTTATATTTCAAGTGCTCAGTAGCCACATGGAACATTGTCTACACACTAGATCACACAGTTCTCCATTGGGAGCAGAGTGTCACAGAGTCCCTTCCAAGTGGTAGCAGACAATTCGTCCTGTAAAAACTTAATATAAGAATATGCTACAGTTCCCACTGTTGAAGTCACAAGGCAATAATTGAGATTTATTGTCACCTTCATCCATAACCCATTCTGATTTTCCTAGTAAATTGTAATTCAGTTCAATTAATGGACTCCCAGTCTTTGAATTAAGTTACATTTTTAAACTGAATGAGAGACCAGAACTTTTTATTGTAGGAAAGAAGGAAGGAAGGAGGAAAGAAAGAAAGGGGGAAAGGGAGGGCAGGGAGGCACAGTGAGAGGAGAAGGGAGGGAGGAAGGAAGAAGACACTGATAATTCACCCACCTAGCTTTCTTCAACAATACAATCTATTAGCCATCAAATCTGTTGTACATTGTCCTGTGGGTCGAGGCATTGAGATTGTCACTATGACTTTGATGCATATATGTCAATCATGTCCACCTTGCTTCAGTGGTTAAGTGTTACCACCTGACCTTTGCTATTCCAGAAACCCATCATTTTTATCTGGTACTAGAGAACCCAGGACCATGACAATGTCTCCCCAGTCAACAGTGGCCTACAGAAGACAAATACTATTAAGCTTCTCAATGATGTCTCCCTTCTTAAAACATGCCTTAGTGAGACCGTCCTTAATTATACATTTAAAATGTAGTCATACACTAAGTTCTCTTAAACATTATATTTATTTAAAATACTATGTATAGATTTTTTTAACACAAAAAAATTATTAATGGAGACACTCAATTTTCCTTAACACTTCTATAACTTTAAACTGAGACATTCTCAGTCTTGTACATGGTGCACAACAGGAGCTTCATAACTCAGAAGAACCTGTCTGAAGGTCCTGTCCTCAACACTGCCACTGTCTGATCTACTTACCTAAGTCATAGGCTAATCTTATGATTGCATTTTGCATTTCTTAAGATAAAAAAAGTTCATTTTCCCACTAACTCTGTAGACCTTTGAACTTGATGGGTCCCTGCATTCTCTTCATATGTCGCCTACATCTTGCTCAAATAAGATGATAGAAGTTTTGATCTCCTTCATGGCATTACTTATTTACTTACAATGTCAGAGGCCATTCACTGATATCCGCCACTGGAAATGACAGACTTTCTCCACGACTGCTATATTTGATTAGTGGTGAAGCCAATTGTCATTCGGTGTCACTTCCTCATCAAAGCAGTTTCCTCCATAGGGATGATCATTATTACACATGTGTGTACACACATAAACACACACATTCTATTACTAATTCTTACATGCTTTTATGAATTCTTATACTCTTAAAGTATGAATTTCTTATATTCTTGAGGTATGAAAATACATAATTTTATGTGAATTTTTTCTCCTTCCTCTTCCTGTACTCTTTCTTTTCTTCCTTCTTAGTACTTACCACTGAGACTGACATATAATGAATACCCAACAAGTACTTCTTGGCCAAGTGAGGTACCAGACAAATTCAAATAGGAAACAAGATTTTTTAAGCCCTTAAGAAAAGTCACATCTGAACATTTAAACACCAAAGAGCAGCTTTTTAACTCTATTTGTCACTGTCCTCCCCATTCAACAGTTTCATACCATTTATAATCTGGAAAACTCTAACATAAAGCTGATTCTGTTGCATAGTTAATAGGACAAAAATTACAGTGACTGCGAAAACTCTAACTTAGAACCCCCAGATTTGAGGATAATTAAAATCACAGCTTGAATGCAGCAGGAATAACTATTTGAATTTAATTTACTATTGTGAGCAATATTAGAGCTGATTACTTCCCCCCCCCAGAATTTTGCACTTTGATATAATTTCCGTTTTGTGAGTTAAATTTACTTAAGTGTCCATATTTTGCAATTCAAAGTACAAATTAACTTTATGTGTATTTTTCTCCTAATAAAAGTGACATTCAATAAAATTGTAAATGTTCTCTTGTTTTCCTTCTGTCAAACACTTTGTACTTGAGTTTTATTTTAGAAATGTGTGTGTCAGCATCAGCAAACCCGGAGTGCTCCTAGAGTAAAAGCCTTAATTATAAAATGGTTTCTATGATAATATTGGTTTTACTTTTAGACTCCTCCTCCTTTTTAATCTGAGAAGGCAGTGTGGCATAATCAAAATAACATGGAGTCCAGAGAACACTGGATTTATTTTTTTTAAGATTTCATTTATTTATTTGAGAGAGAGAGAAAGAGAGAACATGTGATAGAGAAAGAGAGAGAAAGCAGGAGCAGAGGAAGGGGCAGAGGGAGAAGCAGGCTCTCCACTAAACAGGGAGCCAGATGCAGGACTCAATTCCAGGACCCTGGGATTACAACCTGAGCCAAAGGCAGACACTTAACTGACCTAGCCACTGGTGCCCCAGAATATTTGATTTAGAGCCCAGTTGTATGTGGGGCATTGAGTAAGATGTAACCTCTCTTAGTTGTAATAATAATAATAATAATAATAATAATAATAATAATAAATGTTTCTATGTGCCAGACACTGTTCTAAATACTTTTCAAACATCTCACTTAAAAATTCTCATCTCCCCATTTTGAAAATAAGGAAAAGTGAGGCTTAAAAAACTCAAAATAACATGCTCAGAATCACAGTTAGTAGAGCATAAAATCTTGACCCCAATTCATTCAACAGAATTCCAATACCACTGCTCTTCACCCTTACTCATTAGATGCTGCAAACTGGAAGTGGCATCATTATCAGGACACAGGCTGGGAAAGCTGATGCAAGGACCATCCACTTGATCAAGTCCAGTGTTGCCATGGATCATTGTAGTCCAAACTTGTCCTCTTTTTGACCTGAGAGAGAATCAACCAAAATCAGAATGTCAGCACCCTTTTTCTGTGGTCCAAACTCACACAATCCTTCAAAAAAATGCTGAACCAACCGCTTGGAATGATCCGCTTGCCAGGCTTACTCTTGGAAACTTGGCAGGCTCTGGGTCCTAGCACATGCCTGCATGTCTGAGTCTTAGAGCTCCTAAAGGCATCTGGTCAACTCCACAAGAGGTTCAAAGAACCACAGGATGCAACATGGGGCATTGCAACCAGACAGCAAGACTGGACTTGGAAGCAAGGGCTCAAAGGTTCAGCAACCACTAATGCTCAGGACAGAACAGAGGCCCTTCTTGCCTGGGCCTAAGGACAAGACATCAGTCAGATGTCTAACCATGTGGAGGAAGTTCATCTTAGGATAGACCAATGGAAAATCTTGACAGCATTCACATTCCCAGAGGCTGTATTGTCCCCACGCCCTATATGGTCCATGAAACACCTTTGTGTCCTTCCACTAAGATCATCTATTTTTGCTTAAACAAATTTAAGACCTTTGTCTTAAAACCAAAAGATCTTGAAAAATGCACCAATGAAAAATTGTGTGTTGTTAATTTGTCCTGGGTTTGGCTTTGATAAAAAAATTTCAGAGGGCTACAGCCAATCAAATTGAGAGTGTAAAACTGAGTTAGGGCAGAGGGAAAAGGTTCCTACTATCTGCCACCTTTTGAATGCATGACTGTCAGCAAGTTATTCTACTTTTTTTGCTCAGTTAATTCACTCTGTTTAAAATTAAAACACACACCAGAACTCTCTATCTTTCCTCCTCACTTTATTTTCCCCCTACTACTTTTCATTTCTAATATACTAAATAATTTACTTATTAATTTTTGTTAATTGTACTCCCTACCTAAATGCAAGTTCCATACAGATGCAGCTGGATCTCCCTGGTCCAGAATTAAATTTAATACATTAGAATTCAAAACATATTTGTGGCAGTTGTTGAATGTATTATGTGAGTTAATTAGACCATATCAGTGGTTACCCTCTTGAGATCCTATGAACCCTGCAAGTTCATAAAGACTGTATTAGAAAAGCCTTAGGCTAATTTGAATATTACTAAAGGCATAATGGAAATAATGCATTTCAACCATCATGACACTCCTCTGGTAACATCTACCAACTCATTAAACAGGAGAATTGAATGCTGCTTAAAATTGCTATTTATTATTGCTTTTTACTATTTTCATGAATTATCTATGTCTCTTGTTTAGTAAAAATTATGCCATTGGTATAACCAAAAGTACAGTTTTTTTGAATAAGCAAAACAAAGAAGACAATGGAAGACAAAAGCTGTAACAAAATTCTTTGGGATGTGACATTTCTCAAGTTAATTAACATTTCCAAACCATATTCCACTGCCTTAGAAAATAATAATAGCATAAAATAGCACATAAATAGCCTAATGTGTGCTCAGTGTTAGATCCTTCTTCCCTCTACATGATAGAAGTTCTTCTCCAGCCCTAGAATCAAGGATTCTATGTTGCCCCATTTACACAAGTGTGAGGTGATCTCTAAGTACAGTGTTAGTACAGAATTTCCAAAATATTCTTTTTTTCAATGTAATAATTCCTCAAATAAAGACTTAACCAAAAAATTATTAGAACTGATAAACAAATTCAAAGTCACAGGATACAAAATTAATATATAGAAATCTATTGCTTTTTTTAAGATTTTATTTATTCATTCATGAGAGACACACAGAAAGAGGCAGAGACACAGGCAGAGGGAGAAGCAGGATCCACGCAGGGAGCCTGATGTGAGACTCCATCCTGGGTCTCTAGGATCACGCCCTGGGTGGAAGGCGGCGCTAAACTGCTGAGCCACCCGGGCTGCCCTCTATTGCATTTTTATACACTAATAATAAAGTATTAGAAAGAGAAATTAAGAAAATAATCCCCCTCAGAAAATTAAAAATAGAAATATCATATAATCCAATAAGTTCACTATGGGTATTTACTCAAGGAAAATGAAGACACTAACTGTAAAAGATATATGCACCCTATGCTTATTGCAGCATTATTTATAATAGCCAAGACATGGATGCAACCTTAGTGTCCGTCAATAGATAAATGAATAAGGGAAATGTCACACACACACACACACACACAGAGACACACACACACACACACACACACACACACACTGCTGGAATATTACACAGTCGAAAAAAGGATGAGATCATGCCATTTGAGACAGCATGAATAGACCTAGGGTGAGTATTATGCAGTGAAATAAATCACACTGAGAAAGACAAATGCCATATGATTTCACTCAAAGATGTAATTTAAAAAAAATGAATAAACAAAAAGCAAAATCAGAACTATAAATACAGATAATAAACTGATGGTTCCCAGAAAAGAAGGGAGTGGGAGTTTGGGCAAAATGGGTGAAAGGGAGATTCAGGTCTCCAGTTATGGAATGAGTGTCATTGGAATAAAAAGCAAAGCATAGGAATACAGTCAATGATACTGTAATAGTAATGTAATGGGACAGATGGTAGCTGTAACTGTGGTGGATATAACATAACGCATAAACTGGTTAAATCACTAAGTACAATTGAAACCAATGTAACACTGTGTGTAAACTATATTCAAATTAAAGCAAAAGAAGAATTGGCTGTTCAGCTAATGAGTTAGATCCATCAGAATAACTTCCAATTTACCAAAGATATTTTTGACTACACTTAGCTTTTCTTTCATTTAATTCTTTAATATTTTTGAAAAAGAAAAATAAAACAATCCCACTTACACTTGAACCAAAAATAATAAAATGCCTAGGAATAAACTTAACCAAGGAGGTAAAAGATCTGTACTCCGAAAAACTATAAAATATTGATGGAAGAAATTGAAGATGACAAAAAAAATTAAAATATATTACATGATCATGGAGCACCTTGGTAGTGCAGTCAATTAAGCATCAGACTCTTGATTTCAGCTCAGGTTGTGATCTCAGGGTCTTCAGATTGAGCCCCTCATCAGGTTTGGCACTCAGCATGGAGTCTTCATACTCTGTCTTTTGCTGCTCCTCCCACTGCATGCTCACATGCACTCTCTTTCTCTCAAATAAATCCATTTTTAAAAAGATACTACATGCTCATGGATTGGGAGAGCCAATATTGTTATAATGTATATACTATCCAAAGTAATCTACAGATTTAATACAGTTCTTATCAAAACACCAACAGCATTTTTTACATAACTAGAAAAACTAAGCCTAAAGTTTCTACAGAACCACAAAACACCCTGAACAGCTGAAGCAATTTTTGAGGGGAGGAGAGGAGAACAAAACTGGAGGTATCACAAACCCAGATTTCAAAATATACTATAAAGCTGTAATAATCAAAAAGCATAGTATTGGTATAAAAATAGACAAATAGGTCAATGAAATAAAACAGAGAACCTGGAAAAAACTCACACTTTTATGGTCAATTAATCTGCAACAAGGAAATTTGAGGAAAGAACATTGAGAATATAAAGTAAGAAAAAGTCTCTTCAACAAATGGTCTTGGGAAAACTGGGACAGCTACATGCAAAAGAATGAAACTAGACCACTTTCTTATACCACACACAAAAAGTAAGTTCAAAATGGATTAAAGACCTAAATGGGAGACCTGAAACCATAAAATTCCTAGCAGAAAAAAAAGCACCAATTACTCTGACATCAGACATAGAAACAATTTTCGAGATATGTCTCCTTTGGCAAGGAAAACAGAAGTAAAATTAAATTAGTGAAACTGCATCAAAATAAAAAGCTTTTGCACAAGTAAGGACACCATCAACAAAACAAAAAGGCAACCTATTGAAAGGGAGAAAATATTTGCAAATTATATATTCAATTAGAGATTAATATCCATAATATATAAAGAACTCATACAACTCCACACCAACCAAAACAAATAATCCAATTAAAAATGGGAAGAGGATATGAATACACATTTTTTTCCTAAGAAGAGATGCAGATGGCCAGCAGACATATGAAAAGATGATATCACTAATCATTAGGGAAACGCAAATCAAAACAGCAATGGGATATCACCTCACACCTATCAGAATGGTTAAAAGAAAAACATAAGAAATAATGAGTGTCAGTGAGGATGTGAAGAAAAAGAACCCTTGTGCACTATTAGTGGGAATGCAAACTGGTGCAGCCATTCTGGAAAACTTCATGGAGTATCCTCAAAAAATTAAAAATAGAATTACCAAATGATCCAGTTATTCCACCACTGGATATTAACCAAGGAAAATGAAAACACTATTTTTAAAAATATATGCATCCCTATGTTTACTATACCATTATTTACAATAGCCAAGATATAGAAGCAAAGTATATATATATATATGCCCAGATATTACCTTGAAGATTTGAACATATTACTTGTTTAATTTTATCCTTCCCAAATCCCACAATTGTGTAGATATTATTAGTCACATTTTTAGGATGAGGAAACTGAGACCTCAGAAAGGTTCAAGGGATGTTATTAATCATAAATGGGCTGGAGTATTTAAAATTAGCAAAAAAAATATCTAAGCTTCGGGGATCCCTGGGTGGCGCAGTGGTTTGGCGCCTGCCTTTGGCCCAGGGCGCTATCCTGGAGACCCGGAATCGAGTCCCACGTCGGGCTCCGGGGCATGAAGCCTGCTTCTCCCTCTGCCTATGTCTCTGCCTCTCTCTCTCGCTGTATGACTATCATAAATAAATAAAAATTTAAAAAAATATATCTAAGCTTCAGTTGCTCAAAGGAAAAAAGTTTATTTTTCCCACAAAGTCCTTCTGATCTGAGTTCATGAGAGACCCTCTAAGAATGATTTTCCTTCCTGTGCTGAATGGGTACTCCAAGCTGATCACCCAGCCTTTTGAATCTGTCATCTTAATGTGAGGCCTAGATAACTACTATTGCAGGAAAAGAGAAGAAGTCAAGATCTCATACTAACCAATGCTTCAGCCCAGAAGTGGATGGCCTGCAT